ATCGTCTTTGGCCAAAACGAAATGGTCGGCAGTTGGAGCCTCCCCGAACTTCTTCGGGGCGAACACCTCGTAGGCTGTGTCCTCGTCGGTGGGGTCTGCCGGTGGGCGTGGTTCGCGCTGTCGTCGGCACGGGGCGTTCTGCGCCATGGTGCGAAAGCAAATCTCACAGTCTGGATGTTTCGGACTGTGGGTCATGTAATGCATAGGGTCAATCGGTTTCTTCTGTCTGTTTGGAAGAACACGATCACTGTCATGGTGCACTTTGATGAGCGTCTCCATCGGCAGATCCTCGAGGGAGGTCGACATGATGTCGGTACCTGCTTGAGCTGTATCTGCAGGCCCCCCGCATGCGGGAGGAGAACGCTGTATCTGAGACGTAAGCGAGTCAGTGTGTGTATCCACTTTGGACTCGGCATTATTTGTGTCGGGGGTTTCTTCGACCGTGGCGGTCCGTGCTCCTCCTCCCTCGCCGACATGTGGTCTCTTGGAACAGGTCCCTATGTGGGGCCGCAGCTCATCTGTAGGTGGTGACTACTCTGTAGTTTTGCAACGCCAGCATATGTCGTTGCAGCGTGCGGATGAACGCTTGCGCTGACGACGTCTGGGTGCTGACGGAGTGCACAGTCGTGGTGGTGATATCGTCACCAAATCGTCGAGTCGTAGTTCTGGAACTCTGTTATTGACGGGAACCTTATACCATTGGTCCCCCGGATCCTGAAGCAAGCAACCCAGCTCTGGATCCCAAAGCTGCCGAAAGCCATCAACTTCAATCAATTGTCCAACTGATAATAACGATGGGCAATATGGCAATGCGAGGGCTGAACTCTTCAAGCCCACTTCAGGCAGTTGTATGTCATAGTGCTCGTTGACAATACGATCACCACTGGCAGTTTCCAGAATATGCTCCTCGCGAATAGATGTGCGATCAGATTCGGTCTGCGTCAACTCGTTTTTATCCTGAATATGGTGAGCAGATCCACTGTCGAGAACCCAGGAGCGTGTCAACGCAGCGGTCGATCGTGGAGGGTCGACTTGCGAAATCATTGTCTTCTTGTGGTGTGTCTCGGAGGACTCTATGGTAGAGTCGTCGGAATCTGGAATCGCAGTTGGTGTGACGACTCCTTGTCGTGTCGGTAGTCATGTAGATCTTTATACCATAGCTTTGCTTCCCGTTGACAACGTTGTAGGGCGTCTGCGCTCTGTTTCCACCACCATTGTGGCAGCGGATCTGGTACTTTAGCGATATCGCCCTCGTTCGGCTTCTCCATCCATTTGTCCAGAGTGGACCTGCCAGGAACGATGTACGGGTAGTATTCCACGGTATGTGTATCGAAACGTATCCGACGCTGTGGCTTGGTAGATGCTGTGTTGGCTATGTTGGCGGCCATGAGAAGTCTTGTCACGTATGACGTAACTGCGGTCGGAGTGGCGCGGGCGGCGATAGTTGGCAGGAGAGCGTGCCCTGAACTTGGGAGAGCCACGGGATGAATCGCGGCTCGTGGAACGTCGGTCACGTCCTCTGTCGCCGCCGTACGATCGGTCGCGGCCACGTGGGCTGCCGCGTCCTCCGCCACGCCCGTCTCGTCCTCGAAAGGAAGACCGCGAAGATCTATCGCAACGACTTCTCGACTGGTTGCGAGAGTCGTGAGACCTCCTGGGGGATGAGCGAGACCGGTCGTATTGGCGTCGGTTGTCACGTCTATTGTATGAGCCCCCCGCATTGCGGGACCCCCCGCGTTGTGGAGAGCGTTGGCTCCCCGATCCGCGGGACGGCTGTCGGCCACGACTGTCCGGACTGGGGGTCCGTGGGCGACTTGGGCTTCGCTCAGGTGTCTTCGTACCAGGTGCCAGGTGAGCGTATTTGCATGTGTCACCCTTGGGGCACTTGTTCTGTGCGAAGTCTCTGCGCTGCGCCATGCGTGGGAAGTTGCACTTGTCGCCGCTGGCGCAGGTGTTGCGCTTGGCGAACTCGAAGCAAAACGGCTTCGATGCTGGCTTCTTGGGATTCGCAGGGGCTGAGACGCTGCGGCGAGAGTTGCCTCCAGCGGTCGATGCTCTGGAAGATCTGCTTCTCTTCCAATCCCTGGAGAAGGTATGTAAAGCCTTGCATCGCTCACCATTGCGACAATTGCCTTTCTTCCAGGCAGCGCAGACATGTACCTGAGAACGAGCGTCATGCTCGTACCGTAATTTGTTTCGATTATTTTCCAGTTGTTTGAGCTCCAGTACGTCTAGGACGCGCTGTCGGAGCCAATCATAGGTACGATTCAGGTCGCTGATCTTCGTGCGCTGGTATTCGTACATCTCCTGTCATCCAGGCATGTCGGCGAATCTGCGTGCGAAACAGAGATTCCAAGATCTTTGGGTCGGGTGCCTCTCGGCAATCCAACAGTAAAGCGTCCCAATCGGTAATGAAACGTTGCAAATCTTCATCTCTCATCCTCAGCTCTTTGAGGCGATAGGGAATCATGCAGGTCGTCATCAACCTCTGTCACTTTGTAGGACTGTAGGATGTGCCAGTAGATCTGGTGTCCTTTGAGCATGCGTCCTGCTTTGTGCTCTCTGGTTTCGATGAGCCTGATCTGGTAGCGCAAGTCTGAAGATAAGATGTCGCTGAGAGCGGTAGCGAGTTTGCAATCGATGCTCTCGAAATCTCCACTGTCTTGTAAGTCTTCGAAGGTACACTCGGGCTGTCCAGCCACGCATAGGAAGGCATATGCTTTGGATGGTCGCCCTGAGGCGGCTCCAAAATTCTTCAGTACCTTTTGCTGCCACTCAAGCAGCTGTGTGATCTTAGGCAAGACAGGTACTCGGACGGTGTCTGACTCCTTGATCGGAGTAGTAGTATTGACCGAAACCGCAGACAATGGTTGTTGTGAGGGTATCGGTACACCGTCGGTAGTTGGTTATGTGCGCACGGGGGACACGTGGCGTGCCTGTGCTGAAGCTGCCGCGGAGGCTGCTCCAGGTGACGTACGTCGTTGTTGTCCTGCAGAAGCGCGTGGTGCTTCAGCGGACGCTGCCGTCGGCCTGTGCAGGTCGGTTGCAGGTTGAAGGTGAAGTATGGTGTCGTTGGTGTGGTCAATCAGCTGATTTGTCCAGCTCGGCATATCCTCGTGTATCTGGTTCACCTTTTGGCGTGTGTACTCGTCAATATCCCGAGAGCGTTGTGAATTCAGGTCAAGTCGTTGCTCGTAGGCTCGGAGACGGGCGTTGTGTGCCTCCAACTCACTGTCCAGACGTGCGAGGTGCTCCTCAACGCGTACCTTTTCAGTATCTCTCACGAATGACCTGGGAGAGCTCAGACTGCGTGTGGTCCGCCGCCTTCTCAACCTCCTGCAACCTGTCAGCGAGGCGGGCGAAATCGTAAACCGTGGGAGGGGAATCCAGCTGGCCAGTCTGGGCTCGTCCGACACGCAACTCTGTCAGGGCGCCCTGTACACCAGGGAAACGCTGCTCGATTTCAGAGATCCGGTTAGCGAGTGGCTGCGCGACAGCGTTGGTCGCATCAAGCCTTTGAGTGATAACTCTCTCAATATTTTGCAACATGCCGATCAGGTTCGACGAGTTGGTGTGTGCTTCGGTGCGAAGCGTCGCCGCAGTGTGGTCCACGTGGGATCGAAGATCGTTGATCTGAGGCTGAACGTCGCCAAGGTCGGTGGCCTCGGCTGGTGGTGGTCGGTTGCGGAGCTGGTCGTGGATCTCGTCGTGGAGAATCCTGACTTCTGAAACGCCTGTGTCGCGTACGATCACAAGCTGTTGCTCCATCTGCGCGAGGTAGTTGCGCAGGTTCTCGACCGTCGCCGATCGTTCACCTGAGTGTGACATCTCACGGTCAACCTGGTACTGCAGCTCACCTAAGATGCGGCGATCTTCAGCGATCCTGGAATCGATGATCGCTAAGGCGCCGTCGAGATCTTGGCGTAGAGCAGCAGTGTTGTCAGCGTTCGTCTGAACGCTCTGCATCAGTCCAGAGTACTGTCTGGTAACGAAGGTTTCAACCTGGTCTCTGAGCTCAGCTATTTCGCCTGCAGCGGACGTTGCCGCCAGCAGGTCATCTGAGATGGAGAGGTGGGGAGCGTCAGCTTCCCTCTGCACCCTCTCGCGAGGAGCGCAGGGCCTCTGCGAGGCAGCACGCGGACTCGACCTCTTCTCGTCGTATGGGCCTGTGGCCCCGCGACGGTTGCGCAAGGACGAGCTGCGGCTAGGGCCGTGTGTGCGTGGTGTCTGATGAGATGATACCTGGGGGTACTGCGTCTGCGACTGTGCCGCCACTGGTCTACTGAGTCCCTCGAAGGTGGCTACGTGCTCCGCTACAGGATCGGTCGCAGGGCTGGTCGTGCCAGCACCTGTGGTCCATCGGCGGTTAGCGCGAAAGCGCCCTGGAGTATCAGGACCAGCGGGGCTCGCGCCCGACGCAGTTGGGATTGCTCCCGACGGAGGAGGAGATGGAGGATCGAAGGTGGGCGTGTGAAATTCCCTACTGCCTGCTCCTACTCCTTCCCCTGTCCCCCCGCGGGCGGCGTGGCGGTGAAGTTCAGCAGCTAGCCGCGCCTCGGGCCCGTCGGAGCTGGGGGGGGGGGGGGTACCTGGGACACCTACGCGGTCCACACTAAGGCTCTCCAACTCGTCACCGAGCCGTCGCGCCGTCGGAGAGCTCGGACGCGGGGCCCCGATGGACCCCTTACGGCGCCTGCGCCGCTTGGGTTCCATCGGGGCCGCGTGCGAGATCGCGACGCAGGGTTCGATGAACTGTGAGCTTTAAAGGGCTGATAACCTGCGTATGGGGTTAGAGTACGAAGGTACAGAACCCCTGATCCGTTGGTAGAGGAAAGGAGGGAAATATGGATATCTTTTCCTCCTGCGCGATCAAAAATCTGATCGATCTAATCCAATGCCTGAGCCCAAACGGCCAGGCGCAGGAGAGGTGAGGATAAGGAGTATATATGAGGGTATTATACGGGTTCTATTCACAGAGGCGGGGCACGCCACGCACGGACCTAGTGCCGGGGGCGCGGGGGGCCGGCCGCGCCGGCGAGCAGCTGCGCGGCTACCCCGCGCTGCAGGGCCGCGGCCAAGCTCTGGCGCAGGTCGGCCAGCGCCTCCGCGCGCCGGAGGCCTTCGGGCGCCGCAGCCTTGGCCCAGCGGCGGAACTCCGAGCCCCACCGCCCGCCTGTCTCGAGCGCAGCGGCCAGCAGTCCGCCTCCCGGGTAGCGCTGGTGTTTTGTTCGCTCCCGATCGGCGGCCGCTTGGCCGTCGCGCCGAGACCTGGCCGCTGCCAAGCCCGGGTCTGGTGTGGTGACCTCGACCGCGCTCACGTCGATGGCGAGGGGGCCGGAGCTGACGGGGTCGTGCGGCAACACCACGTCGAGGTCTGCCCTCTCCATGGTGCCGCCTGCGCGCACGCGGTTCCATCTTGGGCACGCTTGCTCGGTGAGTGCCTCTTCCTCTCCCCACTCTCGTTTGCACCGCGCTGCCAGCGCGTCGCGGCATCTGTTGCCCCTGCTACAGAAGCCCGGGCCCTTGTCGCAGCAGCAGGCGTGGCTCCCGTAGCGCTGGCGCGCCACCAATGCGCACGGGTGGCCCGTCTGGCGTGAGCGGCGTTGGCACGGCGCCCCGCCCTGCCGCGCTGGGTCCTCGAAGAGCAAGCGGCGGCGGTAGGCCGCGCAAAACTCGTCGTCGGCCAGCGTGTGCTCGTCGCGGCGAGGCACTTGTAGCCACGCGCCCCCTTCCGCCCCCTGGCTGCGCAGAAGGCTCGCGCCCTCCGGGTCGATCGCCTGCCCTGGCTGCCGGCGACCCCGGGCCTGGGCCGACCGCGTCAGGTAGCGCTGGGAGGGCCCTCCGCCGGCACACCTGCGGGTGCCCGTGCGCTGGCGGGCCTGCGCAGGCACCGCGTGGAAGCCTGGGGCGGCGCGCTCGCTCTCGTCCAGCGTGGACAAGCCCTGCGCGGCGAGGACTGCCCGCCACGCGGTTGACCAGGAACCCAGGGTGGCCGGGTCGGCGCGCTGCTCGGCAGAAGAGAAGCCGCCCCCTCCTTCTCTGACCGGCAAAAACTGCACAGCCCGCGACGCTGCAGACAGATGCCCGCCGAGCCACTCGCCCACGGAATGGACGACCCAGTCGTCGTAAGCCTCCACGTCTCGGGGGCTCCTGGTCGTGCTCTCTGGGCGTAGGTGGTGGAGCCGTTCACGAAGTTGCGCAGCAGCGCGAAAGCCTCGTGCATGGGGAGCCCCGCCACGACTAGGGATTGGATGGAGCCTCTCGTTGAAACTTTTCAGGCGAGTCACGGCCCGAGGCGGCACCCACCCCGGCGGTGACGTCGCGCCATTCGTCGCCGTCCTCCTCCGTCACCCTGCGGTTCCTCATGAACGGCAGGGTACTGCCCAGGCAGGGTAGCGCCGGCACGGCCACACGGCGCAGCTCGTCTGGCAGCTCGCCCGCGGCCGACGGCACCTAGACCTTGGTCTCCCCAACGTGAACCTCGAAGCCCGTGTTCGCGAGGAGCTCCGTCGCGAGCCGGAGGGCTGTGGAGGCGCACGCGCGGGGCACCCGCAGGTAGACGTCATCCAAAAAGGCGACCGCCTTGGCCTCGACGTGCAACGTGCGCAACTGGGCGTTCAGCTCGTCTAGGGGGCCCGCCAAGAAGACGCCCCACAGCGCCAGGGAAAGTGGGCAACCCTCGTCCAGGCCCAGCCACTGGACGACCGTGGAGCTGGCCTCGCCCTCCCCTGCGACCGCGTGCACCCCTCCCCGGTCGTAGATTGACCGGGCGAGCAACTCCAGGTCAGGGCGCTGCGTGCGGAGGGCCCGGAAAAGGCGCCTGCGGCGGAGGCGGCGGAAAGCTGACCGGACGCCCGCGCTGATGAAAGCCCAGTCGGGGCGCGACTCTGCGTGGGCGGTGATCGTTTTCTGTAAGGCTTCGGCCCCGCCCGGCTCCAGGACGCCATGCTGGTAGGGCCCGACAGCGCTGCGGATCTCCGCCTTCCGCGTGGCGCACACGGCCTGGCCGATCACTCGGCGTGGGACCGTACCAGATGCCACCGCTCTCGTGCCCGCGTCCCGATTGGCGATGCCCAGCAAGCGCCCTGCAAGCAGGAGGTCCTTCGCCTCGCTCGGCACGCTCCCGATGCACAGGTCCCCCAGCACCTGCGCGGTGTTCTCGCCGCTCATGCCCGCGTGGGCTAGAGGCAGCCAATGTTCAAAACGATCACCCAGTGGGCCCGAGCCGGCCCCCCGCGGCACTCGCGACCAGTTCCCCATGAGGTGCGTGGACACGTCGGCTGCCAGGGAGCGCGCACGGTTTAGACGGGCCTCGGCGCCCCCCTCCCCGTCCGCCTCCTCCTCCTCCTCCGCATTGGTCCACGTTCTCGCCCAAGCCCTGCTGTGTGAGAAATGCCTGGCGTGTGGTGCCCACGTCCCGGGTCTTGACCGTACCCCAAGCTGCCTGGCACGCCCTCCCCAGCTCGCCCTTGTGCAAGAGGTACCGGATGCGCTGGGCGGTCTTGGACAAGCCTTTCTGGGCGGAGCGTGTTTTGACCCGCGCCGACGTGAGGCACATGAGCTGGTCCCACTCCCCCGCCCAAAACATGTCCAACCGCTCGGCCACCCTCTCGCGGACGGTCTTGGTGCTGTCCTCCGCGTCGCGGCGCAACTCCCCGAACAGGAGCCGATCGAAGCAGAGCAGAAAGTGCCAGCCCAGCAAGGAGTCCGCGTCGCCGAAGCTCCAGAAAATGTGACCCACCACCGCCTCCCGGGCTTCGTTGACCGCGTGCGTGAGGGCCGTCGGCACTTCGGTCAGCGTGCCGCACTGGTCAATGAAGAGGTCCTCCGTGGACAGGGCGGCCGCCTGAGACCCCCACCAGTCCATGTTCCGCAAGCCCTTGTCGTCGATGTCCCGCTCGTGCAAGGGCAGGCGCGGCTGGACAGCATCCCCAGCGTCCGGCGGCGGCAGCGGGGGGAGTCCTGGCGCGGGCGGCGGCGGCGGTGCCGCTGGCTCGCACCAGCTGGCGAGCTCCTGCTGCTGCTCTGGCGGCAGATCGGCCCACCCCTCCACCTCCGCCCACGGTCCCAGGCACTGTCCGTAACACCTGGGATGGACGAATTTGGGGCGCGGGGGGTTGTTGGAGCGGGAAAGCCGCAACTCGTCGAGTTCGAACGTCTCATGACAGATGTGGCATTTCCCCCAATGTCTTCGGACGCCCTGCAGACTCGCCCACCAGGCAGCCATCGGCGGCGCGGGGGCCGCCGCGAGTTCACGGCGGCGGCGGCGGCTGCGCCATGGCCGGCCCGCGGCCCGCTGCCCCCTCCTCCTCCTCCTCGCGCACGGCCGAGGCAGGGCGTGCCGCGCCAGAACTCGGTGCCCTCCCCCTCCCCCTCCCCCTCCCCCTCCGCCTCCTCCTCCTCCTCCTCCTCCTCCTCCTCCTCCTCCTCCCTCCCCTCCTCCTCCTCCCTCCGCCTCCGCCTCCGCCTCCGCCTCCGCCTCCGCCTCCGCCTCCGCCTCCGCCTCCGCCTCCGCCTCCCCTCCTCCTCCTCCTCCTCCTCCTCCTCCTCCTCCTCCTCCTCCTCCTCCTCCTCCTCATCCATTCATTCTCCTTCTCAACAACATCTCCCTGTGTCACCCCGAGACCAGTTTTTAGAGCGGGCCGGGCGTTTCGCCTGAGACTTCCTCACCATGTTCGACTCTGAAGCTTAAAAATTGGCAACCGCTTCGCAAATGGAGGGCGGGTTGACTTCAAAATGTGGCTCTCGCCTTAGCACGGCACACATTCGTGCTAAAACCTTGCAAGAGTTTGACGGATTGAGGGCGGGTCGTTTTCAAAAAGTAGTTTTCGCCGAAGCACGGCGCACATTCGTTTAAACAAATTGCGAGAGCTTCACGGAATGAGCGCGGATCGTTTTCAAAATGTGGCTCTCGCCCTAGCGCGGCGCAGATTCGTTGTGAAAATTGCGAGAATTCAGCGGATTGAGGGCGGGTGGTTTTCAAAATGCGGCTCTCGCCTAAGCGCGGCGCACATTCGTGTAACAAAATTACAACAGCTTCGCGGATTGAGGGCGGCTCCCTCGCAAAATGTGGCTCTCGCCTCAGCGCGGCGTGCATTCGTTCAAAACCTTTACAAGAATTCCACGGACTCCCATCATCAACAATTATTCCCCAATCAAAGCTTGCCTCTGTAGGGGTCCTAGCGGATTCATATGGTTAGGTTGAGTTTGCCGCCGATTTTCGGTGCACGCCTGGGTGCCCGGGGGTGCCCGGGGGTGAGGTTGGCCGCCGATTTTCGCTGCACGCCCCGGTGCCCGGGGGTGCCCAGGGGTGCCCGGGTGCCCGGGTGCCCGGGCGTGCCCCGGCGTGCCCGGGCGGCGTGCACGGGGGTGCCCGGGGGTTCCCTATAGCCCTATAGCCCACAAGCCCAATAGCGCTATAGCCCTACAACTCTATAGCCCTAGAGCTCTATAGCCCTATAGCTCAATAGCCCTATAGCCCCCTAGCCCTATAGCCCTGATTGGGGTTTCTCTCCGGTATCATGTTGATTCGCTGTGTTGAAGTCCCAGGCATGGCGCTGGCACGATTCAGGATTGTCAAGACGCAACAATCAGGTTGAGGCGTGGCGGTAGAATCCCGAGGACAATGTTTTGGCATGCTTCAGGGTCTTCAAACTGTTGTCTTCCACAGAGGCAGTTCCTTCAATGGAAATGAACCGCTGTAGAGGCCTAAGAAGAGGGAGCTTGGAGGGAGGGTTCATTCCAACATCGTTGATGACTCTTGGTTTTGCAATGGTCCTCCTCCTCCTCCTCCTTCTCCTGCTCTTCCTCCTCCTCCTCCTTCTTCCACTTACCATTCACACGTTTCCTGCCCCGCAGAGAGCTCCGCCAATGGCCCCAGTGGGTGCGTCCGCATGGCGCCCCCGCGCCTATGTCGGCACACCCTCACACGTTTCCTGTTCCCCAGGGAGCTCCACCCATGGCCCCCATGGGTGCGTCCGCATTGCGGCCCCACGCTCATGTCGGCATACCCCTCAAACGTTTCCTGTCCCCAGGTAGCTCCACCCATGGCCCCACTTGGTGCGTCCACGTGGCATCCCCGCTTCCATTTCAGCACGCCCCTCACACGTTTCCGGCGTCCCAGGGAGCTCCACCGAGGGCCGCAGCGGGTGCGTCCGCATGGCGCCGCGGCGCTCATTTTGGCAAACCCCTTACACGTCCCCTGCCCCCCAGGGAGCTCCACCCATGGCCCCAGCAGGTGCATCCTTATGCCGTCCCCGCGCTCGAGTCGGCACACCTATCATACGTTTCGTGCCCCCCAGAGAGCTCCACCCATGGCCCTAGGGGTGCGTCCGCATGGCGTCCCGCGCCCATGTCGTTAGACCCCTCACACGCTTCCTGGCCCCAAGGGAGCTCCACCCATGGTCCCAATGGGTGCGTCCGCATGGCGCCCCCGCGCCCATTCCGGCACGCCCCTCACGCGTTCCCTGCTCCCCAGGGAGCTCCATTTATGGCCCCACTGGGTGCGTCCGCACTGCGTCCCCCCATTCCCTTCAAACATGTCCTGCCCCCCAGGGAACTCCACCGAAGGCCCCAATGGGTGCGTCCGCATGGCGCCGCCGCACCCATGTTGGCACACCCCTCACATGTTTCGGGCCTCGCAAGTACCCTCCACGGAGGGCTGCAGTGAGTGCGTCCACATGGCGCCGCCGCGCCCATTTCGGAACACCCCTCCCCTCACACGCTCCTGCCTCCCAGAGAGCTACACCCATGGCCCCACTGGGTGCGTCCGCATGGCGCCCCTACGCACTTTTTCGGCTCACCCCTCACACGTCTCCTGCTCCCCTAGGGAGCTCCACCGAGGGCCGCAGCGGGTGCGTCCGCATGGCACCGCGGCGCCCATTTCGGCACACCCCTCACACGTCTCCTGCCTACCAAGGGGTTCCACCCATGACCCGCAGAGGATGAGTCCGTGTGACGTCCCCGCGCCCATCTCTACAAACCCCTTCATACGTTTCCTGCATCCCAGAAAGCTCCACCGAGAGCCCCACTGGGTGCGTCCGCTTGGCGCCGCCGCGCCCAGTTCGGCACACCCCTCAAACGTTTTCTGCCTAGGGGGCACCACCGAAGGCCCAAATGGGTGCGCTCGCACGGCGCCGCCGCGTCCATTCCGACACATCCCTCACACGTTTCCTGCCCTCCAGGGAGCCACCGCGTCCATTGCGGCACATCCCTCACGCGTTTCCTGCCACCCAGGGAGCTCCACCTATGGGCTCAGTGGGTGCGTCCGCATGGCGTCGTGAGAGTGTGTGCGGGAATGCAGAACGCCAAGCGTGGTCTGACGTTTTTGCGATGCGGTCCTCGGTACATACCGCAGGCCCCTCCAACTGTTCTTGTGTATTGAATGGGTTTGTTCATACTTGCATCTTTCTGAAAATGGGTTGGATTCGTTCTTCGCCAGGCGAAATGTTTAGCGTAAAGTGTGTCCTCAGTTGAAGAACTGTACTCTCTGTCAGGTGGTGGCAATTGTTGGAGAGTCCTGCTTGCCTCGCTAAGGGGACAAGCGGAGAGGAGGATGGTGATGGTGATGGCGATGGTGATGGAGATGGTGATGGTGATTGATGGTGATGATGATGGTGGTGATGATGATGATGCTGCTGATCATGATAACAATTATACTGCTACCGATGGTGATGATCATGATGACGCTGTTGATGATGAGGCGGAAGAGGAGAGAAGAAGGGACAGTGGAGGAAGGGGGAGAGGTAGGGAGGAAGAAGGGACACAGGGAGGGAGGACGAGGAACATTGAAAGGAGGAAGCGTTGGAACATGAATCTGAGGAGGAGGTAGAAGGCAGGGAGGCTGGAGAAAGAATAAAGGGACGGAGAAGAGCAGGAACATGAAAACTGAAATGGTCGAGGATGAGAAGGCGAGGGACAGGGAGGGGAGAGGAGGAGGAGGCGCCTAGCAGGAGGAAGAGGAGGAGGAAGCGGAGGAGGAGGAGGAGGAGGAGGCGGGGATTTGGACTTCAAGTCGTGTGCACCGGAAACCTTGGTAGGGAGCAGCATGAAGAAGCACCGGGTGAAACGTGCGATCGCTATCGCTCGAACCAGCAAGCGAGGAACAATATCGCGCCACGCCCTCAAGGTCATCAGCCAAATGTGTTCGCCTGCGCCAAAATTTCGTCGAGGTATCTGCGGCTTCGTAAACGCACAGCGAGCTAGACATGCCCCTCTCCGAGAAGGGAAGGAGGAAGAGACGGATGGACGAAAGGAGTGGGGCAGGGAGGGAGAGGGAAGACGAGGAGAAGGATCCAGTTTTCGTATGAGCTCCCATCGAGCTCTACTTGGGTCCCCTCCCCAAGCGCACTTTTTGGGCGGTGCCCGCACGGCTGTATTCTTTTGTTGCCCCACAAGCACAATCCCGACGTGGCGTCGTATGTTCTAGGTCGGGTGGAGGAAAATTGAGAATGGAGCAAGGAAGGAAGGAGGGAAGAAACACTACGCAAAGGAAGGAGGACGACGATGAGGACGAGGGAGGATGATGATAATGGTGATGACGATGGTGATGATGATGACGATGATGATGATGGTGATGATGAAGAGGACGCGAAGCGAACGCCAGACTCGTGCGCGCTCCACTGGGGAGCCCGCCTGTGCCCAGTAGGGCATGGCGTGGAGGCCGTGGCATCAAAAATGTGATACGTAGGCAGGCTCACGTGATAACCGGCACTCTTGTCGTGGTTGGGTCGCTGCTAGTATCTGCTCCTGCCCGGCGTCGTCGTCGCACTGGTGTCCGTCCAAGCTGTGGAGAAACTTCCGGATGTCGTCTTCCCGCCGTTTTGGTTGACCTGCCCGCCGTAGCCGACCTTGCTTCCGAGTGTTGAGATTTGGGTTCCAATTCTACACTCTCTGCGTCCAGCGTGTCGAAGGGTGGTGAGCCACAGTGTTCGCCCAGCGCCAAGCCATTCTTCGGTGTATGTGGAGTGCATAAAAAATGTCATGTTGAAGCGTCAATGTTTCTGCTCTCCGTGTGCTTCTGCACATGAAATCAGACCACAATTCGACGTCCCCGTCCTGCATAGTATCCGGTTGCATGCCGTCGTCGTCGCTGATATCGTGTTGTGTATTGGGTTGGTCGCCGGGTGGATTGCTGCAAACGTCGGAATCGCTGGAAATCGTTTGGGGCAGTGCTGCTGGTGTCGTGGTTGCTGTTTTGGCCTGTCTCAGGATGGAGTTGTGGTGTCGGTGTCGCTGCTGTGCGTCTCTTTGGTGCTCCGATTATCGTTCTGACCATCCTTCGCTGTGTTCGACGTAAGCGCTGTTTGAGAGTCTCTGTCAAAGTCCACTTTTCTGCACCATGCATCATAGTAGGTATGACGGCGCCCCTGTACAGTCGCAGTCGGTGTCGCAGTGGGTTTTGATTGCTGCTGAATTCTTGTTTGTGGCTGCTGAAGCATGCCCATGCTGCTTAAATCCAGTGTCTTACTTCGGTTCCGGGGGCGTCTTGGAAAGTAATGGTCTGGCCCAAGTAATTAGGTGATTGTGCCAGTTCGTGGCATTATGTCGATGTCCATGCCAGCTACGTTGGCTGTTCGGTCGCTGTGCCTAGGCTGGCTGGTCATGATTTTACTTTTCGCCGGGTGCTACTCTAGTCCGTGATGCTTGGCTGAGGTGATGAGGTCAAACAACATTGCTTTTAGATTGGGAAGCGTTTGGCTTGTCAGCAAGATGTCGTCTGCGAGCCGGAGGTTCATGACTGTCTTCCCGTCAGTGTGACCCAATTGGACGCCTTTGTGCCGCCTTTGCCAATCTGAGATCAGCGGTGCTAGATCGTGTTGAAGCAGTGCATTGGAAAGTAATGAACTCAGCAGGTACCCCTGCTTTGTGCCGCGTTGGAGGTCGAACGGTTTACTGGTGGTGTCGGTTCGGATCACGGCTGTCTGGTCTTGGTACATGCGTCGATGAAGGTCTACGTGTCCAGGTGTGACGTCTTGGCGCAGTAAAGATGCCCAGAAGCTGTCGTGCTCGACTGTGTCAAAGGCCTTCTTTAAATCAATGGCTGCAACCCAGAGATCATGCTTCCATTCGGCTGTCCTTTCACGTAGGATGTTGAAAGTAAAGAGGTGGTCGCGCGTGCCTCTTCCAGGACGAAAGCCCTCCTGGTCGTCAGGTTGGTGTCGCTCCGGGGTGGGCTGTAGTACAGTAGTCGGCTGAAGAGCTTGTACAACATCGGTATTGTGCAGATCGGGCGATAGTTCTGTGGAAGCGTCAAATCGCCTGACTTGGGGATTACAATGATGACGGTCTTTCTCCATCTAGCCGGCGTAGGGGCGTCTGCCTGTATGATGGTGTTGAACAGCTGCAGTGAAGCATGCTGAAGCTCCGCACATGGCTTCTGAAGCATTTCAGCGCGAATTCTATTACTGTCTGGTGCTCTGCCGCCCTTGAGCTGCGAGGTTGCTGCGGTGAGCTCCGCCGGCGTGAAAGGTGGAATCTGAGATGGCTTGGGCGTTGCGGTTGGTGGCAGGTCACGGCTGCGGGAAGAGGTATACAACTGAGCGTAAAAATCTGCAAGTGTGTCTGCTATCCCTTGTCCCGTTGTCTGCTTTTCGCCGTCGCGCCCTACCATTTCGGAAATTAGCGTCTTCTTCCGTCGTGTTTTAATGAGGCGGATGTTTTTGAGGCCCTTGTACTGCTCCAAAAGGTGCTGATTCTTTCCCTCCGGTCTGCACGTTTCTGTCGTCGAATGCTCTGCTGGATATTTTTGCTGATTAGGCGTGCTCTGGCGCTGCTTGATCAGGTCTTCAATGGTGTCGTCGTGCTGCTGGTGCGTGGAGTCGTGGTTGGCGTTGCTCGCGCCCGGTCGTGAGGGCGTCGCCGCGGCGGTAGTCCGGCGAGTTGCGGAAGTGCACAGGCTCTTCTCGATGATATGGCTGAGCTCCTGCGGATCTGTCGGCAACGCTCCCGGTTGCAATTGGAGACCCAAGTGCCGCCGGTATGTGTCGAAGTCTACGCGTGCCCAAGGTCCGCTGCAAGCGTTGGTGCTTGATGTGGGATGCCCTGGATGCCTGGATGGCGTGTCGTTTTACCAGCCACTCGAACAGGGAAACGAATATGAAGTACGACAGCTTTGTGGTCCGAGTTAAGATCTGCGATGCTCGCGGCCTCGGCGTTGGTGCACAGAGGGAGCAGGCTCCGTCTACCAATCTGTAGTTCGTCGTGGGTTGCCCGCGGTCGTGGTGTAAGTGATCTGTTTGTCTGCGGGCTTGCGGAAGAAAGTGTTCACGATGGCGAGCTTCTCGGTCGTGGCCCAATGTCGCAACCATTGTCCTCTGGAGCTCTTGTCGCCGTATCCGTGGGGGCCCGCAAAGCTAGAAAAAACATGATTGATGGTCGTCGTGGTGTTTGTCGGTGCTCAACCTGGATGCGGTTGTGCACCAATTTGGGCGTTGAAGTCTGCTGCGACAACGGTTCGTACGTTGCGTGCACTGGCCTCCTTCAGCAAACCACCAATCCCGTCATACATGCTTTGTATATGTGCTTCCGTATACACAGTGTGTGGGAATTATGCTGAAACCAACTGTAGTCGAATGCGCCCACTTTTGATAGTCATTGTGGCCAGCTTGCGATCACGAGGAGGAGGATGGGGGGGAGGAGGAGGAGGAGGAGGAGGAGGAAGAGGGAGGGAGGACGGAGGGATAGCGAAGGAGAACGAGGTGTTGTGCCCTCAGGGTTGGAGGGGGGATGAGGAAGAGAGGGTGGGTGAGTATTAAGATGAGGATGAGGAGGAGGAGAGGAGAATGAGGAGGACTAGTGTAAACCCAAGTGTTATCAACGATGTTGGAATAAACCCTCCCTCCAAGCTCCCTCTTCACAGGCCCCTACAACGGTTCATTTCCATTGAGGGAACTGCCTCGTTAGAAGACAACCGTTTGAATCGGGATTCCAACACCACGGATCAACCTGGCTGTTGCGTTTCGACGATTCTGAATCGTGCCAGAACGCCGTTCTTCGGACTTCAACACCGCGAACCAACGTAACTGTTGCACCCACAAATCCCGAATATTTCCGAAACGCCAGTTCTGGTACTTTGATCACGGGGACCCGTCAAACTTTTACAACTTTTGAAGACGAGCGTGCGTGGAGCTAAGCGGGGAACCACATCATGAAAAGGAGCCGCCCTCAATCGGTGAAGCTGTTGCAAATGTTTCAAACGAATGTGCGCGGCGCTAAAGCGAGAGACACATCTTGAAAACGGGTCGCCCTCAATCCGTGCAACTCTTGCAATATTTTAAACGAATGTGCGCGGCGCTACAGCGAAAACCACATTTTGAAAACGGGTCGCCCTCAATCCGTGTAACTCTTGCAATAATTTCAACGAATGTGCGCGGCGCTAAAGCGAGAACCACATTTTGAAAACGGGTCGCCCTCAATCCGTGAAACTCTTGCAAATATTGAAAACGAATGTGCGCGACGCTACAGCGAAAACCACGTTTTGAAAACGGGTCGCCCTCAATCCGTTCAATTCTTGCTGATATTTTAAACGAATGTGCGCGGCGCTACGGCGAGAGCCACATTCTGAAGACCACCCGCCCTCCATATGTGAAACTGCTGCCAATGTTTAAGATTCAGGGTCATAAATGGTGAGGAAGTCTCAGGCGAAACGCCAGGCCCGCCCTAAAAACTTGCCTCGGGGTGCGACAAGGAGAAGTTCTTTGTAAGGAAAGAGAATGGAGGAGGAGGAGGAGGAGGAGGAGGAGGAGGAGGAGGAGGAGGAGGAGGAAAAGGAGGAGGAGGAGGCGGAGGAGGAGGAGGAGGAGGAGCAGCAGCAGCAACACCAGGAGGTTGGAGACCAGAGGGAGGAGGACCAGGAAGGTAGAAATGATGATGAGGCGGAGAAGCGGGAGGGGGATATACCAAGAGAAAGAAGAGCCTCGTATAGAACAGGATGTACGCGTTCTTCGACCGCGCGAACCCGGCGCCGCCCTCGTCGCCCAGGCGGCCGCCGAAGGCCTCCCGGGGGATGTCCTCCTCGCAGAACGGCGTCACGATCGTGTCGTTGAACTCGTGCCACTGGGCGACCCCCTCCTGGGCGCCCTCGGCGACCCTGACCTAAGACGCAGACAGGGCGATGGTAAATTAGGACGAGGATACGTGGATACATCGGGAATCTTTGAGACCTGGCGGGTCTGGAGAGAGTATCGGGCGCAGCGGCCATTTCAGAGCACTCTGGAAGGCTCTGAGACACAGACATCCAGCGATATGACTTTTTCGATGCGGGCCCAGAGTTAAGTCGGGCGTGTCCCCCTAGATGGGGATTTTCGGCGAAAAATGACAAATACTCAAAAATACCCCCAATGGGCAAAAATCGTCGAAAAATCGTCCCCAGACAATTTTTAAACTATTTTTGAATGTTCCTCCTGTAGAGGGACAGGCCCAGCTTAAGCCCAGAGGCTTCGACCCCTTCTCCAGGGACAAGTCCGCGTGCCGGCTACATGTCGGATGGCCCCGGAGCCCGACGGCGGGCCCCAGAGGCTGAAATCGAGAAGGACCGCCAGGACCGACAATCCACATCGCCGGAGATCTGGGCAGCGCTCCGGAACGCTCTGGAGAACGGTTCATCCTCGTCCTGGGCCTGCCTGACGCCACCGATCCACACAGTGTGTGTGCACCGCTCCAGACCATCCCCGGACCTGTGCACGCCAGGTTCACGCCGTGCCGACGCGGGCTCTGATGTCTGCCGACAGACCCCTCGGCGACTCTGAAAGGTGTGGTTTGCAAGGGGTGTGGTTTGCAACCGGCGCCCTGGGGGGCACCCTGGGGGGTGGGCGGGGACCTCGACAGAGCTCTCCGCCGCGCCCCGAGGGGGCCCAGCGAAAACGGTGTCGCGCTCCCGGGCCCCAGCAGTGCCGTTCGCAAACCACACCTTGGCGCTAGCCGCCGACAGCCCAGACATCCGCGACGATATGACCTCTCTTCAAAGCGCGGCACCCAGAAGGTCCCGACCCCATCCCCCAGGGGGTGGTTCTCCGTCCCAGCTCTTATGCCACAAGGGCCGCACAACGGGCCCCAGGAGTCCCAAACGAGGATCAGCGCCAGGATCGAACGACAAAACTCGGCGGAGATCTGGGAACGCGTGGATCGTCCAATCCTGAACGAGCGCGGCCGTCCGAGAGCGCGGGTCGCTCAATGTCGGCCGCTTCCAGGCACCAGAGGCGGCCCGACCTGTGAGCGCGCCGGAGCCGGGGACCGCCGCCGCGCCGGCGCGGCGCGGACGTGCCGTGGGCAGGCCTCCAATGCGATATTTTTCACAAAGCGGACCAATGGCTTCACCTGCCCAAGGCAGGGTCGAGGGAGCTGCTTCCGAAGTACCTCACCCAACTCTGTATGCCACCTCTCTGCTTCCTCGTGAAGCGCGACCCTCAGGGGCTCTCGACTCGACTTTTCCCCTGGGGGCCAGCTCTTCATCTTGAGCTGCTCTTTGACGGCCCTGGGGCCCAGCGCGGGCCCCTGAAAACCGAAGATAGCCAGACGCCCGCAGCGCGCATTTTTGTTCCGCGGCGCGAGGAAGAGCGACGAGGCCAAGCGTGCGCGTCCACCGATCTTGCGCACTCAGAGGGACCAGCCTGGCCATGGACCAGCGAAGGCATGGGAGGAGGAGGAGGACGAGGAGGAGGAGGACGAGGAGGAGGAGGAGGAGGAGTGAACTCGGCTTCAGGATGCGTTAGAAAACGGCCGACCCGACCCGCTTTCCGACCCAGGCAGGGGGGCAGCTCCTCCATCAGCGGCAACAGGGGGCCGCACCTCAGGAAGCACAATGTGGCTCCTGCGGGGGCGCCTGGGCGGACACGGATCCCGTTGGACCTGGCCGAAGAGACCAGCAAGAGACGCCTCCTTTCTGGTCAACTGGGCGATGCGAGCTTTGGCGCAGCAAAATGCAGTGTAAGACGTGCAGCAACGGTGCTTAAGATGGTGGTAAAAACTACAAACGAGATCGACATACAGAGCAACACTAACTAACGCGTCAACGGGGATCGGGAAAATCCGATACAACTGAATTCTCTGGGCCCCGTCACTAAACACACGAAGGGGGAGGGGGCAGGGGGAGGAAGAGGCCAAGATCGGAAAAACGGGGGCAGTCGAGGATATGTTTCAGAGAATCTCCAGAGGCACAACCGCAGGCTATACAATTGTTGGTGGCTCCCTTGAACCTGCCGCTACAGGTCCAACTACTACAACAGGTTTTTTAAAGGACGGAAAGCACACGCGAGGGGACCTTATCGGCAATCCTCCATGAAGCAAACCTCAAACTTTGGAGCTCATGATTGCCGACGGCGGGATTCAGTTTAGCAGCTCGACGACCAATCATCTCGAAAGGGGACTGTGCAAACACGTTGGTCAAGCATTTTTCCATCTCGCGCTGGACGCATGGAACTTCGCTGGGGGCCTCGGGGAGGGCAAGCAGTGACCGATAGTTGTCGTGCAAGCTTTTAGTGGCGCTTCCCTGCCGCGCCGGGTGGTTCTCCCACGAGATACAGCACTCGTCGTCCCCTGCGAAACTGAAGAGAAGCTCCTCGGCCTGTGGAGAAATATGGCCCTATTTATCGACATGCGCGTCTTGCGTTGACTGGGGCAACAACGATAAACATGACGACGTTGATGATGGCGAGGATGCTTGTTTTGACGGCAATATATGCCCTCAGTCGCTAGAACAACCAAGTCAAATACAGTTCATGGATGGGTTACAGAGGTGGACCGTGTAGCGCCAACGCTGGGCGCGTGCGACTAGTTTTTGCATTCGTCGGCAGGCTCACCACATCCACCGACTCGCCTGCTTCTACTGAGTGGTGCATCAGAGGTGAAAACTTGCATGGCGCCTCTGCGACGAGGAACAGGGCAGGTTTGGCCAGCATACCGTGCCCCTCAAATGCGAGCGTCAGGTCGCTGTGGCATCTAGCCACACATCCAACGAACAACGTTGCCAACCTCGCTGCAGTGGCGACGCAGAAGGCATGCCGCTGAGCCTGGTAGATTACATTCCTATGTAATGCTTTTAACTGCTCATGGTCAGCCTCGTTCCGAGTCGTGCCAAACATAATTTCTATGGTGGGGTTGTTAGCTGCGTGCTTACATAAATTCCGAATGCGCCCCAACTCCTGCACAGTCGCAGCGTGCTCGAGGCTGCTCAGCACCGTTGCTCTCTTACCTGTGCTTCGGCGCGTCGCATCTGGATGCGCCGCGCAGATGGCAGCTGAATCATCGACGAAATCGATCATGCAGTCGCACGGTTTCGCCGCATAGCTGTCGCTTCGGATGCGCCTGCACAAGCGGCGCGCGACCGACCCGCTCGCATCCGCAATCTTCGCGGCAAGTTCAGGCGGCCCGTTGCGGCCAGAGCTACATTCATAATATCGGCTCCTACCAGAACCACCCTATCGCAACTTCGCTAGGCTCCTGCGAATGTTCGAAGAGAACACAGTTGTCTTCTCGCTTGTTGCCTGCTCGACTTCGAGGGCAATGTGTAGCAAGTCCTTGCCGGCGCATTTCAAATTTGGAAGTGCGGTTCGCAGCCGCGCGCGCTGGCCCAGCAGCGCGGGGTAATCCGAACGCACCATCTCCACTTGATCAGCACCCTCCCCGCGAACAGCATCTCGAAGAGCACGCGCCTGGTGCACTGAGTCCCCCGAGCTGGCCCCGTGGATATTTAATATGCTGTCGAGGCATTGGGCGGCGATGGGCGCTCGCAATTGATCGCGTCCGCGCTCTGCTGCGACGTCTCGTTTCTGCCCGCGAGGTACTCGGCGCAGCGCAGACATCAAGGACTTGTAGAACCCATCCACGCCCAAGACTCGAACGTCACATTCGGCGCGGCAGCGGCCCACAGCGCGCCGAATGCACAAGTGCCCTGCTATCTTCTCGTTCAGGGTGCGATAAAATGCGCGGCCCGTCGGGGGCAAGTGCGATTGGTGCCCTGATTGGGCGCTGAGAAACGCAATCGCCCGCTCCGCTGTCCCCTTCGCCATCGGGCGCACAACGGCGGCGAGGTAGGCGTTCGAGAAAGCGTCGGCGCGAAAGAACTTGTCGGATACCTGATGGTGCTTGGCGCAATCGGCCGCCAGGGTGTACCTCGTGCGCGTCAGATCCAACAGGATTGTAATTGCCATGTCCAAGCGGTTGCCTTTACGTGTCAACTGGGCTTTTCATCTGCTCCCACGATGGGCTCGCCTCCAATTGAACTCGGATGCCGACTGCGCAGCTGTTCACCAAGTTCCCCGCTGGAGTATTTGCACTGCGGCCCCACAGCTCATTAAAGCGGGCATTGAGTGCAATATGGTTCCACTGGCCGCAAACAGGGCGCTGCAATTTCGTCGAAAGAATGCCGCGCCCACCTTTGGCATGGCACTTGCTGATATGCGTGAGCAGCAAACATTTCTCCTTGAACTCTCTGGCGACGCACGTGGGGCACCTCCAGTGGTGCACCGAGCCGAATTCCTGGCGGTCACCCATGCAATCGCTAACGCCCCGCCAGTGCACCACCTCCGTGTGCACTGCCGACTCCCATCCCGCAAGCCACCGACTCGCCTTTCCGCCCTTTCGGCGGGTCTTGGCGCGCTCCTTGTGGACGGTCGGTTTGGCCGCCGCGGGCCTCCTCGCAGCGGTTTTAGTGCCGCGCAAGGAATCATCTGACCCGCCCAGCGATGGTGGATGGAGCGGGTCTTGGCCGATCTCGGGCGCGATGTAAATCTTCTGCGACAGTCTGTGACCCAGAAGCCGCGCCCTCCACGATGCTCTCAGCTTCTGACTACGAAAACAAAGCTGTGCTTCAAGCGGCCCGAGATTTCACTATCAAGACACCCGGAAAGCACCCGAAAGGCACCTCAAAGACACCCAAAAATCGGCACACCATTTTTTAGGAAACGCATACCCTCAAAAAAGTGCTAACAGTTGTATTGCAACTTACATATCCAACAACGATGTTCTGCGCCAGGCGCCCCAGAACGTCATGTTTGCGTGCTCCGACCCCAGCGAACATTAGCAAACCGCGCGCACACTTTCACCCTTTTTCGCAGCCTCAAGAAGGCCTCGTGGGCAGCGGCAAGCGCTGGCAACCC